CGGCGACAACGACGACGACGATGATGACGACGACGGCGGTGACTACACGCGGTTCTACCGCCTCCTCGGCATGTAGAACCGCGTGGGCGGGCGGCGAGGGAGACGGCGGGGGTAGCCCGTGGTAGTTTTTTTTCTTTTTTCGTAAAATATGTTTAAGTTTGAACGAACTCGCCGATGTTTGCGTTAAATTTGAGTCGTTTTTGCGCCGTGTTTTACTTTTTTGACTAACCGTGGGCGCCGCGACTGGGGGCATCACGCCCCCAGTGCGCGGTTTAGCGCCGGTGCGCCCCCAGGGGGCGATTTTTTGCCCCTCCTGGGGGGCCAACGGCTGGAGATGCCCTTAGAGCATCTCCACTAGGCTCCCCAAGAAGCCCCCCAGAGGCACTTTTTCAGCGCCGGCGTGCGAAAAACTCCCCACTCGCGCCCCCACGACCTTAAAACACGCCGGATTTGGCCAAAAACAGAGCTAGCGGTACCAGGGCGATCCCATGCCACCGAGGGGCTGTTGGGGGCGGAAAGAGAAGATTTTGCATGTCAATGGCCCACTGTCAGCCTCCCACTCGTCTCTTCATACTTTTCCTCCTGGTCCCCATCCACGTGCTTTCCCCACATACTCGCCCCCCTGCTGGTCGCGGCCGCCTCCTCGCCGCACGCCAGCCTCTGCCTCCTCACCGTCGCCCTCTGCTCACACAACTCCATCGTGTCGCCCTACTCACAGCGCGCCGCCGTCGCCGCCCTGCTCGTCGCGCGCCGGGCCGGGCTCGAGGAGCGGTGGCGCTGGCTGGAGCTGGCGAGGCTGGGGCTGGCGAGGCGGGGGCGTGGCCGGAGCGCGCGTGGCCGGGGCGCAGGAGGAGCGCGCGTGCCCAGGCGGAGGAGGAGCGCGCGGGGTAGTCAGAGTAGCGGCTGAAGAGGCTGCGCGCACGCTCGCTCTTGGTCGGCGTGAAGAAGGCGTCCCGCTTCGAGCTCCCCGGCTGCGACGTCGCCGAGAAGAACTGCAGGCTCTCGTACAGCTCTGCCACGAGGTCCGCTGGCAGGCGCAGCTGGTTCAGGGCCTCCGCCGCACCCATGCCCACCGACGACGGGCTGGGCACGGACTGCTGCGCCGTCGTCGAGTCCCTGGACGGCAAGTCCGTCATTGTCGCGTAGCTCCGGCTGTTCGGCTCTTCGCGTCATCCATGTACCTCTCCTTGCTCATCCTCTCGCTGCCCGGTGTCTTTGAGCCTGCTCGTACTTGACGGACGGTGTGGCATCGGCGTGCTGTTAGCGAACGGCACGACGTGGGCGTGGCCGGAGCGACGCGGACGTGGCCTGGGCGGCGCGCGCGTGGACTGGGCAGGTGTCCGGGTGGGGCGACGACTGGAAAAATCCTCACCCCCAAAGCAAAAATTTCGCCGGGGCCTCCCCAGGAGGGCAAAAAAAGCCTCCTGAGGGGCACAACGGCTGGAGATGCTCTTAGGCGGCAACATGAGCGGCATGGGAGGCTGCTTCGGCGGCAACATGATGAGTGGCATGGGAGGTGGCTTCGGCGACAACATGTTGAGTGGCATGGGAGGTGAGTTTGGCGGCAACATGATGAGTGGCATGTGGGGTGGCTTCGTTGGCAACATGAGCGGCACGGGAGGTGCCAATGAAGGTGCTTCCGGTGGAGTTCGCAACAACAAGACTTCAACGCAAGAAAACATCGACAAAGATGCCATTGATGATGATCATACCACCATCCATAATGGCACTAATGACAACGGAGAGGACGCAAATTGAGTGATGTCTATGTGTATTTTCATTTGTTGGACCAACAATTTCGTTCGAGACAATTGACCTTTGTTTGTAGGATTTAAAACTATGGTTGACGATGCATTTTGTTGCTAGAGTTATGAAAATTAAATGTGCAAATGCGGCTGTGCAGTGGTTGAACAGCAGCCACGCCGGTTTTACATCTCTAGTTTGCATCTTCTGTTTTTTCTTTTGCGGGAAGTCATAGGGATTTTATTCCAAGATAATAGAGTTACAATCCTCAACGACTAAATCACTGGCACACGGAGGAGCTTGCCCCAGCCAGCATGCTGTGCTATCTTCACACCGTCCAAAGTTCGCTAAGCAATCTGCAACCCTATTTTGATAACGAGAAATTTTTACAGGAACAAAAACCCTATCACTTAAGAGAAATTTAATCTCCTGGATCATATGACCAAAAGCTGATCTATCCATAGATGCATCAAATATAGCATTAAGTGCAGACGCACAGTCTGATTGTATGATGATCGTTGAATTGGAGTGCTCCACTGTCAGTTTAATTCCTTCTAATATAGCCTGTAGCTCCGCTTCGAAGGCATCGTTGCAATGGAATAACTTTTGGTACGCAGCAAAGATTACATCACCGCTTGCGTTCCTCAAGATCATACCCGATCCAGCCGAGCCATCTGTAGCTTGAAATGAACCGTCCACTGACAGCGCCACCACACCTATCTCAGGGGGTGGCCAAGGCTCACGATGCATGGGATTTGTACTGCCCTCTTTCTCGACAACAGTTTCAATGAACACAGGAGACTTGCCCTTGATTATCTCTTCCACCCCACGTGAAATCTGACTGAACGTATTATAGTAGCTGAGAAGAAATGAGCATGATACCTCTGATGGTGGTATGGGCTTACCATGTACTAGCTCATTCCGGAGGTGCCAAACTCTCCATAAGACCATGATAACTCTGCTCCTGATAGACTCATGTGTTTCTGCAAGGAGGTGAAACAGCCATTCCTTCCCTGTCCATTTTATTAATGATCTATTCGGCAGAGGCCAATGATTCAGCATTAAGTCCCATAGATTAGCAGCATTTGGGCAGGATATGAGCGCATGAAAAGATGATTCCTGCTCCCGATCACATAGTCTGCAATACCCACTCAGCTCGAAATGCCTTCTTCTCTTTTCAGCATCCGTTGGCAGGGCGCCTGAGGCCACTTGCCAAGCAAAGTTCTTGAGTTTTGGTGGAACCGCAGCGTTCCACACTAAACGCCATAGAGATCTATCTCCTGATGGGTGATTGATGGAGGAACCTGGACAAAACTGTTCGTAATGGTCCGCCATCGCCACATGATAAGCACTTTTAACTGTCAGCCTGCCAGATTTCTCCCAAGGCCAAGAAATAAAGTCCTCTCGTTGCCTCATAGAAGTTCTGATTTTGAGGATGGAGTCCACATCCGGCTGCCAAAAGTGTCGCTGTACCAAATCCACCTTCCAGTTACTCCGATCATCTATGAAATCACTTACTCTGTTAAGGCGACAGTTTCTCTTGGGAGTAATGGGTGTATATGGCGGTCCACGTGGAATCCATGGATCCCTCCACACGCGAATATCAGCATCATTGCCAACACGCCATAACATGCCTTTCTTCACTAGTTCCAGGCCATACTCTATTCCTTTCCATACTGCCGATGAGTTTCCCGAAAACACTGTATCGACCAAGCTACCATTGGGGAAGTATTTAGCTCGAAGGAGCCTAGCACATAGAGAATCCGGTGTCATCAGGAAACGCCAAGCTTGCTTAGCAAGCAACGCCTGGTTATAAGCCCTCATATCTCTGAAAACGAGACCTCCTTTCGACTTGGGTAAAATTAGCTTATCCCAAGCAGTCCATGCCATTTTCCGCCTGCCATTCTCCACCCCCACCAATATTGTCTCATCATTTTTGTTAGATCATCGCACACAGAGAAAGGGAGTTTAAAAATGCTCATGACATAAACTAGGATGGCTTGTGCAACAGACTTGATTAAAACTTCTTTGCTGGCTTGTGATGAATACCTTTCGCTCCAGTCAATTAACCTCTTGCTCAATCTGGATTGCATCTTCTGTTGGAGTAGCTGTTTTACATCTTCGTTTTGTATTGTTTGTTAGAGTTGGCACTTTTTTTAAGATGCAAAAAGTATATTTTTAAAGATGTACTTCCTCCGTCCGGAAATACTTGTCGGAGGAATGGATGTATCTAGATGTATTTTAGTTCTAGATACATTCATTTTTATGCATTTCTCCGACAAGTATTTCCGGACGAAGGGAGTAATTTTTTAACATTTCCTACTTACATCTTCAAAATTGGCATCTTCTATTGGAGATGCTTTAAATAGTTTATCTATTCTTTGAGGAAGGCTTCGGCGAAGATTCCCATAGCCACGCCAGTTCACACGCATACAGTGCAGCCTCATCAAAGCGGCCAGAGACGAAGGCCATCTGACATCTGTTCGCACAGCCACGCCCGTCACATACATGCACTGTAACCTCATGAAAGCAGCCTGGCTTCCTTTCAAGCATGGCAGAACGAACGACGAAATCGACAAAACTGACCAAAGTTGAAAATTCAGCACAAAATGAGCCGTTTATTTTTGAAATCTGGATTAGGGTGCCATGGTCTGTATTATTCTGTAGCAGGCTACGGCGCCATGCAACGTAAACATGGCGTGCTGTGGGTGGGCGCCATGAAAAACTGTCAATTTTGTTCATTTTGTGCTAAACTTTTAACAAAACCATGAAAAAGGATCTCTCAACTTTTTTTTACAAAACCGATTCATTTTGTGCTAAACTTTTAACTGTAGGATAGTTTTGTCCATTTTCACCAGAAGAACTGCCAATTTTTCTTTACTAGGTGAGTAAAGCGGTCCGACTAGGGCAGCAGCAGGCAGCAACACACCACGTTCCTCCATTATGGCCTGACCGGCAGCTTGCTCTGCTCAAGCTCATCGCCATTAATTCCTCCATCAAAGACCACCAACCACTGCTGTGGACGCATCTCACATTCATGCACATACTACAGGGTCTCATTTCTCCTAGTATTGACTAGGCGTCTAGGTAGTAGTAGTACTAGGAGCTCACAGTGTCGCAGCGCTCCTCCATTATTGCCACCTCGCTCTCTGCCCCCAGGCTCAGCACCATTCCTCCATCCAACACAACCAAAACCAACAATGGCGATTGTTTAGCGGCTTCTTCTCGACTCTCGGGAGACCGGAGAAGGGACGGAGATGGCGGGGGTTGGCGCCGGGACGGGGGCGTTGAGCTCCCTCCTCGGCAAGCTCACCACATTGCTCAGCGACGAGTACACGCTGCTCAAGGGCGTACGCAAGGACATCGCGTTCCTCGAGCGCGAGCTCCGCCGGATGCAGATCTTGGTGAACATCCTGGCGGACATGGAGAAGCTCGACAAGCTGGCCAAGGACTGGAAGGGCACCATGCGGGACCTCAGCTACGACATGGAAGACTGTATCGACCGCTTCATGGTCCGTCTCGGCAAGGGAGACGCCAAGCGTGGGTTCATGAAGAGGACCGTGCGCCGGCTCAACACTATTTTTGCTCGCCATGGCATCGGGACCCAGATCAAGGAGCTCAAGGCCCGTGTTGTGGAGGAGAGCGAGCGGCGGCAGAGGTTAAATCTCGACAACTTTGTTACAAGTACACCGAGGACCGTGGAGATAGATCCCCGGCTAGCCGCGTTCTATGAGGAGGCCGAGGGGTTGGTGGCGATGGATGTCCCCATGAACAAGGTTATGGCCTGGTTGATGGAGGATAGCCTGGAGCGGAAGGTGGTGGCCATTTTTGGAGGTGGGGGGTTGGGGAAGACGACCCTTGCCATGGAGCTAAATCGCAAGATCAAAGGGTACTTTGAGTGCCGAGCTTCTGTGTCAGTGTCGCGCACCCTTGATCTGGAGAAGCTCTTGAAAGATGTCCTATTTCAAATCGACCCAGATGCATTTAGAGAATGCAAGAAATATGCTTGGGACAAAGAGCAACTTATCCCTGAAATTGCACGGATATTGACAAGAAAGAGGTATGCATGGTTGTAGTTTCTTCATCCATACAAGCATCAATTTCTATAACCAGTAAAATGCCGCAAACAATTTCTTAGATGAAATAAGTCTCTCACTTCCTCACCTAAATAAACTCCCTGGTTGGCATAGACAAAGTGTCACGTATACACAAAAGAGTTAGCTAAATATTACAAGTTCAGTTTTCGCAAAAAAAAAAAAATACAAGTTCAGAAAGCAAACATGAAGATTAATATTAAAAATTCACAAATAGAAAGACGAAGTTTCATACACAAAAGAGTTCGCTAAATATTACAAGTGCCACTACTTTCCCGAACACGTACGTATATACTACTAGTACAGAGTAAGTCAAGAAATTACTCTTCTTTGTCAATGTTACCATAAAGCTACACTTTCAAAACTTCAAGCAAAAGTATAATATTTATCAGAAAAAAGAAAACTATTAGAGCATGAGATACAAGACTTGAACAAACTTTATTTACTTCAAAGACAAAATAAATAATCTTTATTTCAGTGTATTTTTGTTATTCTTGTTTGTATGGTTGTACACTTCCGTTTTACAGATTTTATGAGCTATGAGTTTAACATTTACTAAATTCAAGCAAACAACACTACATTATTTTTTATCCATGGGTCAATTAGTTGCTCATGCCAAAAAAAATCATGTCGAGTGACCTGAAGGATTAAATTTTTCTGAATTTTACTATTTCTAGGTGGAATTTCTTGACATATCTAAAAATTGTTGATTTCCATGTTTATGTATCAACATATATAAATCAATAAGTTCTCTTTGAGAATAATGATAATGCCAAATGGATGAAAAGTGGCAGCAGCATTTTCTCCCAGAGGACGTAGTTTCTAATGTTCGCATATTTTTTCTTTAATAAGATATCATAATGCCTAATTACATTGAACAACCATATATTTTGTCTTTCATTAGTTGTTTGTCAGTTAATAGAGTTTCCTTTGATAAAGGTAGAAAACAAGTAAACAATGTAAACTAAAATATACTCCCTCCATTCCTAAATATAATGTGTATAGATACAAGCCCACATACCAATGCATGTGTTGGCGATATGTGGCGAGAAAGCCCCAGTTGACTTGTTCCAAGTCCCATGTGCCAATGCGTCAATAAATTAGAAAATTTCCTTGCAAAAAAATTAAATTAGAAAATTAGAGGGAAACTAGGCCACTCTCCCGCTATCTGGATGTCCCATCTGATGTTTACGAGAGCAAATAAACAAGGGAGGGAGGCTATGTTTTTGATGGGTTGGTTGAGGGCTACTTTCGTACAGAATTGGGTTAGGCTCAAACTACACACTACAATATGGAATTTCCCTAGAAAACTAATACGCACTATATTTAGGAACGAAGGGAGTATAAGAATCGACAATTAGTGAGTCCATCATGTGTTAATGTAGACCTGCACTGTCACATGCTGTCGAGTGAGTGTGCTTATATGGCATATTCAGACGTGATTGTTTTTCTTTTTTGATAAATGGCACTTTATTAAACTCATAAGTTAGCATCACACTGAGCTTGAACCTGGTTTTGTATAATTAGGATGCACATAGTGATGGATTATGGATGGGCTTAGGCCCATACAAGACACTAATCCCTAGTTAATTTTGAGGCCCATGTATGAGATGACAGATGGTGGGAAGTTTAGTCCCACCTTGCTAGTGAAGGAGAGTTGAGACCCCTTTATAAGGGTTGCTCTACCACTTGCCATTGGGAGCTTGGGAAGAGGAGTGGTACACGCGCGAGACGCGGGAATGAGCCGAGCCGAAGGCTCCGATCCGTCCCCAACTCCGTCTGCCTCTGCTTCCACTACTTCCCCTGCATTGATACGCTTCTATGTTCAGTACGTGCTAGTATACTTAAGTATCGCTATGAGATGCATACTTTTTGTGCCATGCTTACTGCATACTCGTGGATTAGATTAATCAAGAAAGTGCTAATATTTCCAACACTAGCAGCACAAAAAAAAGGCACAATACAAATATACGTGACAAACTCATAGCAACGCCTAAGGCAGTGGAGGGCCGATCCGTCGACCACACTGCCATTCACATGGGATAAACATATCCCTCACCGCATGCTCCAACTGTGTACATAGACCTCCGTAAATAGGATGAAAAGATGACAACAACCGAGCAAATGTGTACACCGGCAAATGACCTACAAAGAAGGAGAATTATTACCATTAAAACTAGATAATTTCTACATAGTCAAATCGACCAAATAACAACAATCACTCCCATCCTAATAAGAATTTTATACTTGTGATCTATTCAACGTAACCAGTTGCCAAATATGTTTGCAACACTACATGGCGGGTACAACTTAAAAGCCACACGGATGACTAATAATCATATAGAATGTGCAAACTTGCACTGCAAACTTAAGTGATTAATTGTCTCATCATGGTGACAAAACCCACACGATGAATTTCCATGCCAATTGCGCTTTCCTAGGTTAACCTTGGTAAGGATTACACCTTTGCAAAGGTGCCACATGATTTTTTTTTTAGCTGCACGTACATTTCCAGGATATTTTTCTATTACTGAGTGGTACGTCTGAGTTAAGGGTGCTCTGTGCATAGAATCCATGAGGATTTACCATTCTTATGTAGATTCCACTGAAATGCATCAGCCCCTTGCCTCAACTGAACAAAATGCCAACCACCCAATAAGAGTGTTCCATGCTGCAAGCATGGGTCCAACTAAATCTCCCCTCGGACGTCAGATTTGGTGGATCCAATACCACTACGATTGTTCACTCTGTGCATTTTAAAACCGAATCGAAAAACCATACCGAAAATAAACCGAACCGAACTGAATTCACGGTTTTTATGGTTTCTGGTTTCAATATGGTATACAATTTTCATACCGTTTTGAATTTTGGTTTTTATGGTATATACCGAAAAACCTAATGGTTAACCGAGTAGATCGAAATAAAAAAAAATATTTCTTGAGGCAAACAACGATACAAGTAGTCATTTTTCTTGTATAAGAGTAAAATTTCCTGCAAAGAACATCCATTTTTTCTTGTAACGTAGTAATTTTTCTCTTGCAAAAATGTTAACCACGTCGTCCATAACCTTTCAAGGCATGAATTGAGGCATGCATATATACTTATATAAAGTTATATACCGTTTGTATTTAAAAAGTATGTGTTTGAATTTATAAGTTTGTAAAATATAGTATGTCATTTTCAAATTCGCGTCAACTTTGGTTATTATTGTATATACCGAAACCATACCGAAATATTTGGTATATACCGAAACCGAACCGTATATTTTAATATCGTACAAACCGGAAAATCGTATAAACCGAACCATGCAAACCGAATAAACCTAACGCACCGATTGAACGATTGTATCACTCTTGTGACAGACAATATTGTAAAGATATGAATATTGTTCTTGGAGACTGGTTTTCCCTGGCCACTTATCCTCCCAAAACTTGATTTCCGAGCCGTTCTTGATAGTAAATGATCCAAAGCAGAAGAAATGTTTCTTCATCGCTACTAGACTAGCCCAAAAGTGCAAGTCCCCTGGTTTCCAATATACCCGGGACAATGCCTTTGAGCCTATATACTTTTGCTCAGGAGAATTTGCCAAACTCCATCCTCGATAAGAAGTTTAAAAAGCAATTTACCAAGGAGGGGTGAATTTTTAACCTCTAGATCGTGAATACTAAGACCTCTTGATCTTTTGGACGACGGATAACGTCCCATCTAGCCAGCCTATATTTCTTTTTCTCACTGTCGCCTTGCCAAAAGAATCTCGACTAGCAATAATCCAATCTATGCAGAATTCCTTTTGGTAGTTGGAAGAATGATGCTATTTACAATCCATATTACTTGTTACTGAATTAATGAACACCAGTCTCCCGCCGACAGAAAGCAATTTTCCTTGCCAACTGCTTTTCGCCTTTTCTTGAGACACTTCTCCACGTGTTCCCATTCGGCATTTGTTAGTCTAGATAGCGGCCGCGTTTTGTGCTTCTCCAAAATAAAACATTAACTCTTATGAAACTTAATCGTAAGCCCCAATAACTGCTTGAACGTTGACAGAATTAATTTCAAGTTATTATTCTTTTTGGAGTATTTAATAAAAAACTACCACAATTCATGGAACCGTGCCGATAAACTACCACTATACAAATTTGTGCCGAAACCTATCATTTCTGTTTTAATCTTTGCCTAAAAACTACCAAGTCAGAAAAGTGACCGGTTCGACTCGTTTAAGCGTGATTATGACAGGGCTGGCCTACATGTAAGCATTGACATGATAATAATAGTCAACCCCGCTAGATTGACCGTTATGTGACCGTTATGACAGATGGGACCCATGTGTTCACTGGGACATTTCTACAAACACCTTGTATGCGTAGTGTCGCCTGGCCGGCGGTGGGCGAGCTGTCGCCGCACCGCCGAGCAAGCTAGCCGTCGCGCTGGCTGGACTCCGCGTCGCCGGGCGAGCTCGACGGCGACCGCCGCGCTCGAAGCTGGCCTCCGCGCGAGCTTCCATTCTGGGCGGGCTGGCCATGGCTGCGCGCTGGCCTCCGCGACCTGGCCATGGCTGCCGCCGCGCTTGAAGCTGGCATTTGCGCCTCCGGCCGAGCTGTCCTGGGTCGTGGCGGCGGACGGATCCGTGGTCATCTGCGACGACCGCGCGCGCCATGGCCAAGGCCGGGAGTTCTGCGGCTGGTCCTTCCGCCCTTCACGCCCGACTGCATGTTCGGCCGCGATTTTACATCGAGGAAATTGGAGCTTGCTAGCTCGATTCGTCCTAAGTAAAAGTCGATTGGAGCCTGGCTATTAGAGCTAGCTAGATCAATTTGCCTGCCATTGAAAGCCACCCGAGATCTCCGTGGGGAATTTTAGAGGAAGATAGGGAATTTTAGAGGAAGAAGAAAGAACTGATGTGTGGGCCCCACATGTTAACGGTCAAAGTAACGGGGTTGACTTTTTCGGCCCCGACAGGTGGGCCCAACATGTTATAATCACGCTTAAACAATCTGAATCGGCCACTTTTCTGACTTGGTAGTTTTTAGACAAAGATTAAAACAAAAGTGGTAGTTTTCTGCACAAATTTGTAAAGTGGTAGTTTGTAGGCACGATTCCACGAATTGTGGTAGTTTTTTGTTAAATACTTTTCTTTTTTAGGTAATGGTCCATAAAGAAACTAGTGGCGTCTGCATATTGAAGGATAAATAGTCCACCATCTACTAGATGTGGGACTACCTCCTCAATTTGACTGCCAACCTTGATGCGCTCAATCATGATGGCCAACATATCTGCCATCATGCTGATTAATATGTGCAGACGTGATGAACTGTTTAAGAGCTTTATGACAGGCAACTTCTATCTACCATCACGATCACTTCCTATAATCTCTATTAACCGGCGGATATTCTTGTGTACGTTAAAAGTTTAACAAATAGTACATCCCACCCTGCATATGTATATTGTGTATAAGTGCTTATCTCCACCCTGAGTATCCCTCGAGTGTATATATGCTAGCATCCAGATTCTATATAGAGGCAAAGCCCAAGCGATGTGGCACAATCACGTCTATTTTCTAGCTCACGACTAGAGTTAATCATATCTTAGATTGGTTGTTTTGATAGATTGTCTTTGTTATTTCTAGGATTTGATCTCATAACATGTAAATAATATACTATAATACTATACTACACTGGAAGGAATATATAAATTAAAAAGAACCACTCTGAAAGAAAAATGCTCAAATAAGCAACTTTTGATGACACATGTCCTTTGGATCAATAGAATTGCAATTTATGCCAAAACTAGATTCACTCTCTATGGCTTGTCCAGTAGTCGCAAGCAATGCATTTCAAGAAAACATTTGTTTGCGTGAGTGATGCAAACATGAATGAATTGGTTTCCTGTTACTCAAGTCAAAGAAAATTTTGACATACTTGTTGAAGAGTGATATTTTCCACTAGCGATCGGTGTGAAGTGCACACTACAATATTTAGATATTTACTAGATGATGTCTTGACTTCAAAAAATACTTATCCATTATTACAAAGTGATATGCAAATTGGTGGAAAGCATTTATATCGGTGTGAAGTGCACGTAAAATATTTGGTTATTTACTACTCCCTCCGTCTCATAATATAAGAGCGTTTTTGACATGGGCCGAGGGCGTAGATGATGTCTTAACTTCAAAAAATACTTATCGCAGTTAGATAATTACAAAGTGATATGCAAATTGGTGGAAAGCATTTATATTTGTATTTGAATGTGCTTTTCTGAATAATACATAGTTGATGATATGTTGGTTTTTCCAGACACATCTAGTTATGTGCTTGCAAAAGTAAATGTAAATTTAGTGTGGAACATGATATTTGTGTTTGAGCTTAATACTGAAACTGCAAACAGGTACTTCATTATTATTGATGATGTTTGGAAAGAGGAAGACTGGAAAATTATCAAAGCAGCTTTTCCTAACAATTGTAATGGTAGCAGAATAATTGCTACCACACGCATCACCAATGTAGCTAGGTCATGTTGTTCCAACTCTGGTGATCAGCTTTATCAAATGCCAGTTCTGAATGATGTTGATTCTAGGAGATTATTCTTAAAGAGAATTTTCCAACACAACAACCCCTGCCCTCCCAAGCTAAAAACAGTTTCAGACAAGATTTTGAAAAAATGTGGTGGTCTGCCATTGGCTATCATCACAATTGCGAGTTTGCTAGCCAATAAACCTCATAATGCAGATGAATGGGAGAAACTGGAAGATTCCATTGGTAATGGTCTTTCATATGAGAATGATGGTGGTGGAACAGGGATGAACGATATATTGCTACTTAGTTATTGGGACCTTCCACACCACCTGAAGACTTGTTTATTATACTTGTGCATATATCCAGAAGACCAGCGTATCAATTGTGCAGATTTGAAATGGAAATGGATTGCGGAAGGATTTATTGCTGCACCATGGGGAAACCTGTGTCAAGAAGCAGAGAATTATTTCAATGAACTTGTCAATAGAAATATGATCCAGCCGGTTGATGTTGGCCGTGATGGCCTTGTACACTATTGCCAGGTTCATGATATGGTCCTTGACCTCATAATATCTCTGTCGGAAGAAGAAAACTTTGCCACTGTTTTGAACAGACGTGTCTGCAATTCTTTGCCAAGCAAGATTCGTCGGCTGTCCATGCAATCTACTGGGAAAGGAAACAAAGGGGCAATCCATGCAGTCACAACAAGCAAGTTGCATGTTCGCTCACTAAATGTGTTTGGAGAAACGGAGCCGGTACCCCCACTTGTGGACTTCCATTCCTTGCGAGTGTTGGATTTTGATAGCTGCAATTGGCTGGAAAAGGAGCACATAAAAAATATTGGAAGTTGTTCCCAGCTTAGGTATTTGCGAATTAGCGGCACACAAATCACTGAGCTTCCTGGAGAAATAGGGAAGCTGCAGTTCTTAGAAACTCTGGATCTGCAGGGCTGTGGTGACCTTATAACACTGCCATCAACGATGGTTCAGCTACAGAAACTGGCGCGCCTACTTATTCACCACCACATTTGGTTGCCTGCCGGTGTGATTGGGAGCCTGCACGCCTTGGAGGAAATATCACATATCTATCGAGTTGACAACCCAGTGAAATTTGCGGAGGAGCTCAGGCACCTAACAAAACTGAGAAAGCTCTCTATGAATTGTTATCCAGATATTTGCAGTGATTATCTAGAAAGATATTTGGAAGTTTTGCAATCATCTCTAAGTGAGTTGTGCAAATTCAACCTTCGATATCTTCATACCAGTGAGGAAATAGGAGATTATCTGCCGGGGGGTTGAAGACTCAGGTTCCCACACCTCCATCTTGTAAAATCGGTTTTTACACATGAGACTCGTTTTGAAAGGATTCCCATGGGAATGGCTTCCATAAATGATCTCGTCCATTTAGACCACTGTTTCAAATAGCCCGCTATAGCTCCGCTATAGCACGCTATAGCGTTTACAAAAGGTCTTGCGCTAAGAGACTTTGATCCAAACAAATGAACAAACATTTTAAATAGCGCGCTATAGCTCTGCTATAGCACGCTATAGCATTTGAAAGAGGTCCGGCGCTAAGATGCTTAGCGCGCTATTTAAAACTTTGATTTAGACATAGAAGTTAAGTGGTTTGATGAGGAAGGTCTCCATCTTCTCATGGGCATGCCTTGTCTGACCCACCTCCAGTTAAGTGTGATCGCTGCAGAGGATTCGACATGGGGACCCTATTTTCCGGGATACGGATTTACACCGGTGACTGTCGGTAGTAACGGATTCAAGTTTCTAAAGGTGTTCTGCTTCACATTGAAGGATTACACAGGAATTGGAATAACATTTGCACCAGGTGCTATGCCAGCACTTGGGAGGCTCCATCTTTGCTGGAAAGCACGGGATGTTATGCACAAAGATCCTGGCGCTGGCATGGGCATCGAGCATCTTTCAGGCCTTGCGCACCTCCAGGTGGAAACTGATTGTTCGTATGCAACTGTGGCCGAGGTGGAGGCTGTGGAGGGAAAAGCGACCCCCTTGCATCCCAACCGCCACACTCTTCAAGTCCATCTCCATAGAAAAAACAAGAAAGGTATGTTCAAGGATGATAAGGAGAGGGACAGGGAGCGGGACCACTACGATTACGTCCAGTATATTGGCAACATGTAAGAGGTAAACATCGCATGCTTAGTTAAAACGCTATTTGTCGGAAGTTGTAATAAGCTATTTCCCGGATCATGTGAGCTATCTTGTCCTGTGGATCATTTGTTGTCCTGTAAAATATTCCTGGATCATTTTAGCTATTTCCTGAACCCGCAACTGCAGTTTTTCTTTGACCGCTTCTGCTAGTAGTTTACTGATGTTAAATGAGTCTGTGAGTTGGGCTAAACATTGGGTGAAATCTGGTCGGTGGTATTTGCTGCTGGATTCGCTTTGCAGCTGTAAAGTGATGCATTGTACGCAGAAGCGCTGGCTTAGCTTCTATAGACGCAACCAATTGTCTATTCATCCAACGGCAAATAACATAATAAGCATTGCTACCCTGACTCCACACCATTAAGAATAAGCTTGTCAAGTGCTTGGAGATGACACTGTTATTGGATAGCTGCAAATAACAACGACCAGCACCGCTGTCTGCAACTGTAATCGTGAACACTTGGCACGAGACGGCATAGTGGACCCACGGTTCAACGTAACTGAATGCCTCCTCTTCTTCGCCATCCGGATATGCACAGATTGATAGATTCTTGGATCACTAGGCTAGATTAGATCTGGTAAAACTACCTTCTGCCTTGCCTTGCGAGCTCGAACCAGCAGCCATGGTGATGTTGTGGTGGCGAGTTGAGGATACGGCGGTGATGGCAGAGAGTACGTGAGTAGCGGTGGTGGAGCTGTGGAGCTTCCCATCGCTCTCCGGCTTTCCTCGATCAGTGAGGTTAGGAAGGTGGGCGACGGTTCTATTTTGGCGTTCATACCGTAGTGGCCCCCACCTCCCTCTTATAGCCGGCGCGACAGGGGCCCACAACCCAGTTAGGTTGGGCTCCCCCGATCAGGGAGCGAGTCAACGGTACAATGGGCCTTTGGGCCCATTGATGGAGAGATCAATACTAACATTCTCCCCCTTGATCTCATCTTTCAATTTATAACTTTGTACTTTGAAATAGCTCTTTTCAAAGTACTCATTTCATCACAGATTAATGTGTATGAGCTGCCCTATCGTCACGGTCAATCGCCAATGGACTTGACACCTACAACGCACCTCTCTGTTTTGAAATATATACACTAACTTTTGGGCCCTTTATTGTCCGGAAAACATAGACTATACCATAAACCCATGTCGACTGTGTGTTCTCTGAACGCACTGGGCGGTAAGCCAATTCATTAAGCAGATCTGCAAATACTTGTCTGTTGCTTTCAAGCTCCAAGCATTTCAACATAATTCCGGACTTTCTCCTTAACAACGTATAACTTTGTGTCAGTGTGTTTGGCACCACACTTGACTCGTTGTCATAGGAACGAATTACTTAATGGTTATCGCTGTCAACCATTATCAACTCCCCGTACATTTTCTTTAACCTTTTTACCTGTCCCTCAGCCTGATATCATGTTGTACATTATCTTTACATCATATTAATGATAATTGATTCATTCTTTAGAGTTTTTCCACACAAAAACTCCAAGTGTGAAAGTCAGCGACAATTGTGGATTTCGCTATATATTTCACAAGTTCTATCTTTGTATTCACAACCTTTTGAGAGCGCTTGCTCCTTTTATCATGAGGCCAATATATTTGACTCCATTCCAGTGATCTATATCTGGACTGGGCATTGCCAAAACAACCCGGTTATGTGAACTGTGGCATGGTAATGTTATACTTTTGCATTCATTAAGCTTTCAACAGCTGAAGCATATGGTAGCATATTCATTTGGTCTATTTCGTATTGACTTTTGGAACACTAAAGTTTCCTAAATCATTACCCTTTACTATAAGAATAGGCGTAGGTTTTCTCGCATGCATACTTTAGAAACTTTCCTTAGCATGCCCATGCGTCACTCCTAATACCCCTTTTTATTATTTTCTCAGTGAATCTCGATCCTTATAACGAGAGACATTCTTTTGAACTTTGAGGACAAGAACTTCTTTTCCTCCTGCAGTCGAATTAACATCACTACTAACAAGCAGAATGTTATCCGCATGTACAAGATATAGGAAATGAAATTCCCATTCTATAACTTTATACAAACACAATTGTCCTCTCATTTTCTTTAACCCAAAACAACATTTGATTGCTTTAGTCCATAAAAGACTTCTTCAGGCAGTATCCCCTGTGTTCTTTACTTTCATCTGATGTAACTCAGATCATAATATCTTTCATCTGATGTAACTCAGATCATGATGTGCTACCAACACTCATTATAATCTATTCAGTGTAAAATGCGCAAAAACCTTTCGATTTTAGTCGTGTTTTACACCTTTACATATTTCCTTTGGAGTCACATTGACCTTGTAGACTCTTTACAACCTACTGTTTTGGCTCCATTGGAAATTACTCATGAGTCCTGAACATCGTCAGAATTCACCAATTATATTTCATCTCACATAGTCTCTTATCATTTAGATAAGCAGACACTTCTCAAAACTCGATTGAGCGCTTTAGATGAGGTGGGATCAACCTCCATTTGAATTTCACTAATATAGACTTTATAGTAATCAGAAGTATCTGATTTTCTCATTCCTTGAGACTATCTGTGTCTCAGGTACTGACACTTCTTTCATATGGGGCTGTTGTTGCTCTGTCATTGCCAAGAGGTAAATCAATTGTATAGTCTTTCACTTCCAAGAGGCAATAGGTTTTACAAGGACCTTTATCACAAGATCCATGTTTACTCATTCCTCCTTTATAGAGCTAACAATAGGTGTTGTATAGGTCATAAGACATGCTCCCCCCAGATTACTCCATCTTCACTAAGAATGGCGTATCTTTAAACTTTATTATTTGGGTTTATTCTGTTAAAACTTTCTTCTTTATGACACTTTAAGCACCGTCTTGGTATTCCTTAGTATCCTTTCGAAACAGAATACATATATTTCTTTTCTTTAGGGGTATTATTATGACCGTTGTACTCCCCGAGACGATCACATTCTTCATTCATGGATCACTTTAGATGCATAATGTGCATCACATTATCTAAAGTATAGGGGAGTTTCCTCATTCTTAGATTATCTCATATTTCTTTCTCCCCCTCGAAATGTGGCAAGAACTTTTCTGTCACAATTTTGAAAAACCATTCATAACTCTTGAATTGAGGAAACTTTGATTATCTACTTCATTTAACTGATTACTTCATACGTAATGAAGTTATCTGTTAACTGGTATGGGAGTACCTTTTCCTCATTCCATTTCAGAAACTCAATAGAGTTCTTTATCATTAGTACTTTTGCAAGTCGCACTTGGATATCATTCTTATCTTTAGGTTCATCTGTAACTTTTATTGTCTTCAGATTTATTGAGTCCTTAATGACCGTTACACCTAAGATGTACGGTCGATACTAGAAAAGCATAATAGCTACTCCATACTTTTCTCCCAGAGTGGGACACATTAAAAACACATGAGTCATCATGTCTTTCTCCTATCATACAGGATAAATCTGAGAAAATTTCTGCCGCCATACAGGTTACACAGGGATTTTCCCAGACTTTTCCTGCCATGCGGGTTTTATCATAATCATCTTTTCCCGTCATGCGGGTAATTCCCTGTAAGGGACATAAATGCCAGAATTGGCTCTTTTGACTGAATATTCAATCATCAAATTTAGGAGTAAATCCGAATGCTCTTTGACATACATGCTTGATCCGACGTTGGTCAAATTAAACACATATGTTGCTTGTTTCAACTCAAATCGTGTTGACTGAAAAATCTTCTTCATAGAGAGTACATGAAAGACATTCGTCAACCAAGACTCTCAATGATCTATCTCTTTTCTTTTGAGGCCATTCTTTAGAGAGAACATACTCCCTCACGTTATGACCTTTCTTGGTCATCTTTCGGGTCACAAGTACCCAGCCATTCGCTTCCACGAATGAAGGCATGGAAAACTTTTAGTCTGAGAAAAATTAGCCAATAATCAACAACAACGAGCATAAAAATAACCCCATGTTTATCCAGTTAAAAAAGTATGCACATTAAACTTTTAAAACTTTCTTTTATATTCTAAATCACCGTTGGGCAGAATTAGAACAAAACATCATCCTTCTACATTAATTCCATATCACCGTTGGGCAGAAATGGAAATAACACATATAACTTATAAA